AACTCCCTGTAGTGTTTTTACAACTCCTTTTGAGTCTAAGTATTTCAAAATAAATAGAAAGCTCTTACAATAAGAAATTAATATAATAGGAAGACAAACTAGAATGTTTATTCATTTGCTCCGTGTAGAGTAGAATGTTCAAACAACCAGTATGGGAGAGACACATCATGCAGTTGGTCCTTCGCAAGACTAGAAAACAGGCACATCTGAGTCACCTCTGGGCTGAGCTCTGTCCAGGATTCTACAGTGACATCACCTTGAACTTGTTCTGTGTGCTTGATCACTGCCACCATCCGCTCTTCAGCAACACTGTCGCCTTCAGCACGTCCGCTGACCCTTTGGTCTCTAATCCGTACATCAAAGTTTTAAAAACATGCTCTTTGGTTTCGAACCATACAGCTGACAACACAACTTTACCCAGGCATTTGACTGCTTTCTCTAAGTCTTAGCTCCCTAAAGTTTACTGCAATCCATGGGCTGCTTTTAAGATAAAATGAGAAAAATGGATTTATATTCTAGTAAAAACTCTGTGAGTATTAGACATTACAAAGTTGAAAACAAATGGGGGAGGGGGTTAAATCTTCTTTCTCCTTCTACTGGTCTGTCTGTCATAGCATTCTGTTCATTTTACATCTGAATGTCCCTCAGCCCCTACACCCTACTTCAAGCTGGGATATTGAAGCACCCCCTAGTCTCCATGAACCCAATTTTCAGTTTCTAAAAGAGATTTGATCCTGTCCTGGGGGAACATAAAAAATACAGATAGTCCTTGTTACCTAATAATTTCTGATAATCTGTGTCTCTGTATCAAGTAATCCCTGAAAAACCAATTCCTCCCCCAGAGGTAAGACCTCAGTCTGATTCAACTGGGCACTTTCCAAGTGACTTGCCTGGCGTGGTCCCCAGTGACATCATCAATAAAATATACATTCATATGGTTAGATCATCCTGACCAACACTTCTTGCCCCTTGAGACCTAGTCCAAAGGTCGTGTTTTCAGTCAACCAAATTGTCCTTCATTGTATCACTGATCTTCAGTATAGTCCTGTCAGGAAACAGGGCCTCTGTCATATAAATAAGTTTTCTGTGGCTTCAACTGGGAATGAAGGTCTTGGATCCACACTGTCCACGCAGTCCTCACTCTAGGGTTCCTGCTGCATGAAGTGGGTCGCAGTTTGTACGACTCCATGGCAAATTCCTCTCTCTAAAGGCTGGGGAGCCACTAGAACATGAGAAAGAAGTTCCAGTGGCTTCTTTTCATGTCAGGAAAGGGTCACCCACCCTTTGTTTTGATTTCTGTCTTGAGAAGTAAGCCACACTAAGAGTCCAGGGTGCACTCTGAGAAGACAGGGTGTCACTGTCAGCTCTTGGCACTGTGTGTGTAGCTACTCCCTTCACCGAAGCCAGTCTCCAAGCTGTGTGGACATCTGCTGGGAATATTTCAGTGGCAAAGACTCGATCCATCCACAGTGACTGAGCCGTGCAGGAAATCAGGTGGAGATCCAGCCAATAGTGTCTAACTCAAAAGAGCAAGCGACATTTTGCCTGTCTGTGGTTGTCTAAAGCAGTGTGTGTTATATAGTTTCCAATGGAAAATCCTGTTCTGACTGCATTTCAGGACAGAGGGCTGAAGTAATGCAGAGTCCATATTCTCCAAGATGAACTTCTACAAGAGTTCCCCTTGTTCGTTCCTGAAATACTCTCCATTCTCTATCTCCAAGAGTATTTCTAAGAGAGCTTTCTAGACTGCCTGCTCTCCATCTCTAGGTAGGACCCGCTCCACACGGCAGCCAACACTATTGTCCTCAAAACACATCTTGAATATGACCCTCTACTTCTTTATACATCTGGTAGTCGTTGCTTCCTTAGATTGAAATTCTAATGCTTTCCCCTGGAGAGTCTATCTGATACTCTGACCCCTCGCTACAACCCGATCCTGTAGACCCTGTACTATAATTTAAATATAAAATTTCTCCCATAGGTACACATGTTTGAACACTAGGTCTCCAACTGGTTGTAATAGTCTGGGGGGCTTTTGAATCTTTGTGAGTTGGAACCTAGATAGAGAAAGTGGTCAATAGGGAATGGGCTCTGAGGCTGTCACCTCCAGCCCATTCTCTCTGCTTCCTGGTTGTCACCACGATCAAGCAGCAATCATACACTTCCCTACCATGAACTCCACCATGGTGAGCTGTACCCCCTCAAACCATTGGGTCTAAATAGATTCTGCCCTCTTTAAGTTGCCTCTGCCGGGTGATCTACCTCCTTGTATGCATTTGCTTTGTTTGTTCCTTCTTCTCTGCCTTTGCGCATGTGTCCCCTCTACTTAAGATGAGTTTAGGGCTAGCCAGAATGGACCAACGGTTGTAGAGAGAGGGGCTCTTGAGCTCTATCTAGGACTCATCAGCTTAGTTATATTTTAGTGCAGTGATAAACACCAAGGCATCTTATAGAAGAGCGCTTTAAGGGCTTACAATTCTGGAGGGATAAGACTCCCTGATAGCGGAGCATGGGGCATCAGGCACCGCTGAGAGCCAACAGCTCAGACTCCAAGCAAGAGGCAGAGAACACATTGGGAATGGTACAAGTCTTCTGAAAACTCAAAGTGACTTACTTCCTCCAAACAGACCCTGCTTCCTCATCCTCCCCAAACAGCCACCAACTGAGTACCAAATATTCAAATGCCTGAGACTGACAGGGGATATCTCACTCAAACTACCACTCTGTCTGTCTCTTACCCATCCATAGTCATCAATTTAGGTAGACTCTTAGTTTTGGTGGAGCAGGATCTATTGTCTCTTTCTTAAAGTTTATTTTTATTTTATGTGTATACCTGTTTACCCACATGCATTTATGTAGATAAACCACATGTGTATAGTGTCTATGGAGGCCAGAAGAGGACATCAGATGGCCTGGAACTGAAGTCACAGATAGTAGTGAGCCTTCACGTAGGTAATGGGAACCAAACCTAGGGCCTCTTCAAGAGCAACCAGTGTTCTTAACCAGGGAGCCATCTTTCCATTCCCAGGGTTTCTGTCTTCTAGGAACCCTGGCGTTGGAAGTATTGCCTTGTTTCAAAGCAAGGGAGAATGCAAGACAGTGAGGGTGTGGCTCTCATTTTCCTTACTTTTCTGCTAAAGTGTTCAGGGGGTACAGGCAAGACATTTTTAAGGGTGAAGAAAGACATAGCAAACATGACATTTTGAAAGGCTAATTGGATACGGATGGACGTATTGAGATTCCGTCCGTTATTGTCAGAAATAATGTCTTACAGAGAAGCTGTTGTAGAGAGAGCAGTGCTATTGATGGACTCATGGCACTCGGGAATATGGAAGCAGGAAGGCGGAAGAACAGTGCCTGCAGAATGATGTCAGTCAAAGCGAAGGAACAAAACTAAACACCTCTGATGTGAGAGCTGACCCCGCCCACAGGATTCGACCCGTAGGACCCATGTGGATAGACCCATGGTTACTTAATGCAATCAGATGTGAACTGGGAGGGGTCTGCTGACCACTCTGCCCCTGAGATGTGATCTCATGTTTGCTATTAGGTTCAAGAATCAAAACAAGCTTGTGAGTCAGGGAACATACGTCTCGAGTTTTAGAATACCATTCCCATTTCATCCTCTGCAACCCCAGAGCCCCTGGGTAATCCTGTAATCCTAATATTTCATCATCCAAACTACATTCTGCTTGTTTCCTTCTGCCCATGGAGGAGATGTGACAGAATTCTCTGCCCAGACCACAAGTCCCAGTTTTGAATTCAGGAAACAGGATCATGAGCCCTACGGAGCCAGCTTGGGCAGTGGGAGAAAGACTCCAATCAAGATCATTACGTTTTGTTCCAAAGCTTTATTTTCTTAATGCAAAACAAAATTATAGATAATGGGAAATAAAGATAAAGCAGGAAAAAAACTGGGTAATGGGATCGGATTAGGGGGCAGATTCAGGTTAGTCAGGAGTTTCCATAAACAAGATTGACTGACTGTCGGGTAAAGTCTCCGGTAGAAGCTTGCCATGGGGCCTGCGGGTACTTGGGGCGTTGACCTTCTGGGAAGCACCTCGGAGTAACAAGCAAGCGTGCTTGTGCTCAGGTCTCCAGAACCACAGTTACCAGTGGAGCCTTGGTGGGGCTCAAGCTCTTACTTCCCGTGAAACTGGGCTAGGAAACAGCACTTTGGGGCAGGGGTGGGGGGCGTTGCTTTGTCACGTGGTGGAAGGATCTACAATGTAGAACAGACTTGGCGGCCAACCTCAGTTTTAAGTGGGGTATTTACTGTGGTTCCAAAGAGATTTAAGAAGTTCCCAGCATGGGGCATTCATGACCCTCCTGTAGTCTGCAGGGAAGGACTGCAAAACAGTATCACTGTCCAATTATATAAATATCAAACTCTACCTCCTTCTTATTCATTTTCTTCTGATCAACTATCTGAACCAAATATACTCTTGAATGGATCTGTCTTGTTTATTGTGTGGGGCTTCCGTCCTACCCCTGGAGGGTATATTTCACGAGTAGCTAAAAAGGAAGGCTCTTACACAGAGTAGGTGCTATGTGCATAGCTGTTGAATGAAGGAATGTATGGACTTTTAAAAATGTGTGTGTATATAGACATGTGGGTATGTGGCCTGTTGAGGCCAGAGGTCAGCATTGACAATTGTCCTCTATGGCGCTATGTCTTTCTCTTTAAGATGCTACAGAAACTGTCTCTCACTGATTGGCTAGACTAGGACCTCCCTCCACACAGGAGCGCCCTGCCTCCGCCTTGCAGTGCTGGGATCATAGGCATTCACTGCCGTGCCTGGATTTTTGCGTGAGTGCCGAACTTCATACTCAGGCTTGCGTAGCCAGCGCTTTGCCACCCTGAGCCATTTCCTCGGCCTCAGAACCGAGGGCAGGAGGAGGGTCAGTCTGAAGCCAGTAGATCTCCTGCCAGCCATCCGCTCTCAATCCTCCCTCCCAGACGCTGCTGATCATTCTACAAATTTTCTCTCTTTATGCAGAGCATTGGCTGTGACGACTTCCTGGGCTCCGACAAGGTCGTGGACAAGTGTGGGGTGTGCGGAGGTGACAACACGGGCTGCCAGGTGGTGTCGGGAGTGTTCAAGCATGCCCTCACCAGCCTGGGCTACCACCGCGTCGTCGAGATTCCCCAAGGAGCCACGAAAATTAACATTACAGAGATGCACAAGAGCAACAACTATTTGGGTGAGAGTTTCATTTCTCCTCTCCATACACACCTGCACACACACACACACACACACACACACGCACGCACACACGCACGGAACGTGTTTCTACAGGTGGTGTGAGAGTTCATTTCTCCTCTCCACACACACATGGGACGGGTCACTACAGGTGGTGAATTGTCTCCAATGGTGAAGTGATCGCTGTGGTGGCCAGACATCCCAGGACACACAGAAAGTGCCACTGGGGTCTTCCTGACCTGCCGTTTGGGATAGAGTGTGTGTGTGGCGGGGGTGCAGGTCTGCCCAAAAACTAAATGGCTAATGTCTATATATTTACACCAGGCTTTACTCGAGAAAAACCTGGTTATGAAATGGGCAAGAGACTCCTTTGAGCTGGGAGGAGTTTTTTGTCAGGGAGGGAGAGAGGAGGAGTCTTGGTTCTCTTGGGGTCTGGGGACAGGGATGCTGAGGACTCCTCCCAGATAGTCACTCCATGGAGGTCTAAAGCGAAGGCAGTCCTTGCCTTCGCTCTCTTTTGTCTGCTGGGGGAGCGGGCCCCTGCAGGTCTTCTGCACTGCTGTGGACCCCACAGCGGTCATCTCAGCCAGCGCCATCTGCATTTAGCCCATTTTCCTGCAGGCGAGAGAGCCTTGCTGGTGCCGTCTTCTAGAATCTGGGATATTTGAGTATCTGCTACTGTGCAGCGTCACAAGGATGGGTGTTTACCAGTTTCTAATTCAGATAAGCATGTATAAATCAGTGAAGGAAGATTATAGGGGTGCCTGTTTTGTTTTCTGAGACAGGGTCTTGATCTGTAGCCCAGGCTGGCCTGTAAATCGTAATGTAATCCAGGCTGGTCTTCCTCCTACATGCGGGATGACAGTCATAAGCCACCAAGCCTGGCCTAGGGTGTCATGTCTTCAAACACTTAATGAGCAGCAATAGACATTTTCTTTGTAATTATTCAATAATTTTATTGAACAGAACCTGTCTAGAACAAATCTATGCCAGGAAACATACTTATGGCTTTTCCTGTATAAAATCCCAAAACACTCTGAGAATATCCCACAAGCTATTCCCAGCCTCAGTTTACAAATTAAAACAGACATATAGGGGTCAGAGAACTTGCCACAGTCATACAACAAGGAAGAAGCAGAGCTTGGATTTAAACCAAGGAAAGGGAGCTCAGGCACAGAAGTCTAACATAAGATAATACCCATGGGCCTCCTCTTCTCTACCACTGATCGTGTGGCAGTCAGTGTCTACCAGAGGTTTTTGACATACCATTCATTTTGTCATTGTTTGTGGTGGTGGTGGTCTACGTGTGTGTGTGTGTGTGTGCGTGTGTGTGTACACGCATGATTACACATACCCGTGAAGGCTAGAGGCCAGCCTCAGGTGTCATTCCCCAGGTGCCAGCACCTTGCTTTCGAGCTTTCTAGCCTGGAGTTTGCAGAGTAAGCTAGACTGATTGGCTAGTGAGCCTTGAGGGTCTGCCTGCTTCCACGTCCCCAGCACTGGGGTTACACACATGAGCCATTGTACCTGCTTTTTTATGTTGGTTCTAAGAATCAAACTCAGGTCCTAACATCTGTACAGTGAACATTTTAAAATGACTGCGCCATCTCTCCAGAAATCATTTTACACCTGTCCCATCCCTACCTCCTCAAAAGCAGCCCAGACTAACTTGACTTAGTTTGATTGTCTGGGGTAGAAAAGGATGGCAGATGTCTCTGAGGCAAGCCCAGTTAAAGCAGAAAACTGTTACGTTTTCTCTGGCAAATCCAGGAGCCTCCAAAGTGGCAGGAAGCTAAGTTCCCCTGTGAGCGGTTTGTGTCATTTCACATCTTAAATGATGATCTCTGTGTTTCCGCCTTTCTCTGGTGCTTTTATAAGATCCCATCTCCACACACATCCTGCCTCCTACAGTGGGAAATGTTCCTCGGGGGTTATTTGAAGTGTGGTTGTGTTTAGACACAATGGAAAACAACGCCAGTTTTTATTAGCTTTATGTTGTTTTCCGGAAATGTTCCCTCGCTATCGCTGGTCCCATTTTGTAATCAGTTTCAGGCTCCTTAAAGATACAATGGACATTCTTTGTGAACATCCACGGGGTATCTGAGTGGAAACCGACCAGACCCTTGCTCTTGCCATCCAGAGTATAGAATTTTGTCCTAAGACTTAAGAAGAGAACAGATACATGAAGGAAGGTGATTGACAAGTGTTCCTTCCTTTTGTCTCAGGGAGTTTGTCAGGGTATAAAACTTAATGGAAGATGATGGGGAGGTGACTCAGTGTGTAAGCATAGGGACTGGGGTTCAGATCCCCCAAATCCAGGCCAAGTCGGCATGGTGTGCTAGCTCTGTAATCCAGCTAAGCCCCAGCACTCATTCCTGAGGCAGAGACGCAGCTCCAAGTTCACCAGGAGACCCTGCCTCAGGAAATAAAAGCATAAGCTGATGAAGAGTCAAACTCTGTTACCGATATGCACACAGCCTCATGTGCATTAACATGCATACAGACGCACAGACACACACAAACATGGGATAGAAATCTCCCCTTTCCGTGAGAAGAATGAAGAGAAAGCAAGGGAGAAAGGAAGTATCAAGAGTCCACAGGAGAGTGACTCGGGACGTCCCTGTTGACTCCTTGTGCCCAGAAACCAGCGGAATCTTGACAAAGGCCTCATTTGCGAGTGCTACAGGCTGGTGTGTCGGCAAGGAGAGGGGAGCAGGAGCAGGCTTTGGGGAAGGGGGCTCCAGGAGTCATGAACGCAAGCTTCCAGCCATAGCATTGATGTCACCCAGAATGTTCTAGATTTTCCTTCTGTCCTTAAAACTCAGGATACAATTCGCACACCATAGACTTCATCCCTTTTGACAGCCCAGTGGCCGGATGGTCTTTTTATTATCCCAGGCCTTCTTTACCCGACTCCCTCAACTGTTCACAGCCTTCTGCTCTACCTATAGAGCCTCTGTTCAATGCTGTTGCCTGAGATTGCTTGAGGCTCACACAGTCGTTGGCCCATAGGCACAGCTGTGATTTCTAGACCCCAAGGCCAGTTGTTATATTTAGCCATTTTTGGATGTGAAACCTTTAGAGCCAATCATCCACTGCTGTGCTTGTCTCGAGAAGACAGTAGGTGGGGGTCAGTGAGGGGGCTCCGCAGATAAAAGTTCTTGCTGATGGCTGGATTGGGCCCCCGAGACCCACATAATGGAAGGAGAGAATCAGCTCCCTCAAGTTGTCCTCTGACCTCCACACATCACACGCATGTGCTTGGCCTGTGTGTGTATCTGTGTACCAGTGGCGTGCCTGGTGATGTCTGGTGCCCAAGGAGGCCAGAAGAGGACACTGTATCTCCTAAATACAGTGTGAGCCATGTATGGTCTCTGTGAGTCAAACCCAGGTCCTGAAGAAGCAGCCAATGCTCTTAACCACTGGGTCATCTCGCCAGCCCATGATTATTTTTTTAATTCCCTTTTTTTAAAAAAAAAAGATTTTATTGTTACTTACAAAAGGTACAATTTTAAAATTAGAGTATGAAAATTGAATAACAACATTTTTGAGACAAGATCTCATTATAGAACCCAGAATGATCTCAGACTTTAAATACTTCTGCTTTGGCCTCCAAGTGCTGGGATTAAAAGCATGTAACACCATTTCCAGCTTGGAAAATTAAAAATTTTAAAACAAGAACTACATAGAAGAGGGAGGCATAGCAACCAACAGGCCTTAGCTGAGACATCAGCATTACTGGTGTATTAAACTTACCTCTGAGTTTAGCCTACAGACCTGGCCCACTGGCCCCTGGCGTGCTGCTGCTGGCCTTTGCCTTTATGTAGCTCACAGGAGGGCTGGCTCCCCGGAACTGGGGAGAGCAGGCTGCCTTCACTTCACCATGCTCCTGTTTTCTTCAGTAAGCAACACTATAGAAACTGGGACGTTTAATGGCACACACATATGAGAAATGACACACGTTCATTTCATTTTTGGGTTGTAAAACCGAGGACACTCCAAGAGCGAGCTGCATTTTTATTAAAATCAAACAGTAAAAATGTCTTATGTCCTTCAAAGCTCAGCCTGTTTAGTCAGAACCAGACGTTGAGACTTTAGAACTGCTATCTGTTATAAATCTATAAATTCTCCTTATTCTCGGACCTGCTATTTGGAGGGAAAACATCGAATCTGATGTTATTACAATGACTGGCAGTTTGTATGACTTCCTTCTCCCTTCATATGATGTTGTAAAATGATTTTAGCTGAAATATCAGAGTTTGGCGCAGTTGAATCCGTCCGGTTCGCTAATGCCGTTATGCAACAGTTCAGCTCTGGACATGAAAGCACAGCCGGCAGCGGCTGACTGCTCGGGGCATGCTCTACCTGCCAGCGACTTACACCATTCAGAGGCTCTAGACTTGGACAGAGTTCTTGGAGATCTGCAAGATTTTAAAAACACGCTGGTAATACAGTTCCCTTGAAACATGTTCGCGTGAAGGTTTAAAATAATAATAACGGGGGCTGGAGAGATGGCTCAGCGGTGAAAAGCACTGGCTGCCCTTGTGGAGGACCTGGGCCCAGTTCCCAGCACCCACATGGTGGCTCACAGCCATCCATAACTCCAATTCCAGGGAATCCAGCTCTGTTGGCCACTGTGGATGCAAGGTATGTGCTCGGTACACTGTCATACATGTAAACAAACTCATACACATAAAATAAAATGAACAAATCTTTAAAATAACGATGGTTAGCACCTAACACCTCAAGAACCATCATGAAGCATCTCTAACGTGCAGACTTTCTGTATGGGAAGGCTCAGAACGTTTGAAAGAATGTGACATCTTGGACTGGAGAGATGGTTCAGCCATGAAGGCACATACTGCCCTTGTGGAGAACCTGAGTTCAGTTCTGGGTCCACGGCTCACAGCTACTGCAGTTCCAGCTCCAAGGGAACCTATGCCTGGATTCACATGTGTACACCCACACATATACATAACTAAAATAGCTTGAAAGTCAATC